ATTCCCTTAGGAATGATTACAAACCACCTATAGTGAACATCATCCAACATGGCTGCCACTTTTACTCCCTTACGATAAGATTAACAACGTACCACCTATAGTGAACACTATAATTCAACATGATGTGGCTGCCACTTTTATTTCATGGTTCACACTTAAATTCTAAAGTAGTTTTCTTTAATAATTAAACGTTAAACGAGCGATCTAAAAATTGTCTTTCCTCCGTTTCGTCTTGTTTTATGTCGGTCATAATCTTTATATATAAAAGATGGAATTATTTTTTTGAAACAAGGCACAGGCAGCTACAATGATAAAACTTCCCCTTGGAAAGGGTTTTATTATTATTATTATTAGCTTATTATCAGCCTTTTATAATATTATATATCTATTAGTTCATTAGTTTTCTCTACTCGCAACAAATGAAAATAATRCGAAAAAAAGAAAGAAAATAGGGGAAAGAAATCGTAAAACAAAAAGGCAAAAGATGTTCGTTTAACGCTGAAAATGGCGTGAAGTTTGTTTGAGATCCGCAAACGATTCTACATCGATATTTATTTATTCATTAAGTTTATAATTTGTTTACAGAAAGTTCTTATGCTACTTTTTTTTTTTTWAATTAACTAAAAAGGAAAGCAAGTATTAACTATGGAATAACATAGCACATTCCTTTTGTAAACTGACTTTCTCATGAATCCTCGTGGCTCATACAGACGTCAAACTGTACATAGCCCGAAACAAATTCACAATCACTGTACTACTTTCCATTCTAATTTTCATCGCCTCAAGTGCGAAAACCACTTGAGATTAATATTGTTCATCGATTGACTTCGTAACCATATCACTTGAGTCTATGGACTCGAGCACCTGTTTCCATGGTAACGTTGCCGTATTTATGACTACAACATCTATCCTARTTTTTCGTTCAATATGTAAGGAGTGAACTATACAAGTTCAATATTTACAGATATTTTACTTAAAAAAATACAAATGCTTTCATCTTTGACACTTATTTTTTAATAAATATGRCATTTSTAAGTGCGTGATTTCTTAATAAGAACTTGCTTAGACTAGATTTTTTTAGATCGTCGCGCGTGTTTGTAGCGTTGACCTTAAAAAATCCTATCCTATGGTAGATCATACCGAGAGTTTTCAAATGTAATTCACGAACAGATTTAAGTTTTTAAATGAGTCAAATAAATTTATTCAAGATTATGAGTAGCTTACCTTAATTCACTTGTGAAAATCAGAGATTTTGAAGTCTATGTCAGTCGATAAGATGAAAGTGTGAAAACTTATTTCGAGCTTTAGTTTTTAGAGCCAATCTCGTATAAAAAAAGAAGATACACGAGTCACACAAAATAGAAAGATGTATTATCTTGTGTTGTCGCCGTAAAATTCAGTGAATTTTAAGTTTGTTTCGAAATCATATCCATAGCAACTTCAATTCTCGAAGAATCTAAACCCAAGAATGTTTTAGAGTAGTAAGCGAAGAAGGTTCGAGAACTAGCGTGTGTTCGAGCAACTGGAAGCCCATTACATTATTATAAACAAAGTCTCAACGCATGTCTTCCTGTTGATAAATATAACGAAAATAACTATTTCAAAGCTTAATAATTATTGAAAAAAGTAAATTTTTTACTACTAAAGTTTAAGTCCCTACTTTTTTCAGGCTAAAGGCATTTCTAATAATATTTTCTTCTTTTCCATTCGTGTTTGTATTCGATCCAGTTCTTCTTTCTACTCCTACTACTAATCCTTCTTCTTCTTCTTC